CTTTTTTTTTTTTTTTTTTTTTTTTTTTTTGAGTTGTTTAGTAGGCTGACAAGGTTTGTTCTATGCGCCCTACAAAATGTACGCATGGGCCTTCCTAAGGTCAATTGACTGATTCTAGTATTTTGCAAATATTTATAAACACTACATGCGTATGTACGGTTGCAGAAATTTTGCTGTTATATTATTAAACTGTTCAAGAAAGCTAAATTTTCTGATAATTGGAATATGTATTTACCAATAGGAAAATATTTTGTTTCCGGAATGTATCTCCTGGCCAACTACAACGCATTAGAAAATACCGCACAAGTTTATAGACAAAATAGTGATGCAGGACAAGAAACAAAATAAAACAACCTCTACTTCTGACCTATTCACTTGTCAGTACCGGATACATTCATCTGAAAAATAAAACTGGATTTTGTGAGACATGCGCGCTCTGTTTGTCCTCTGCGTGTTTGGCAGTCTGAGAATCTACCCATCTCTTGAAGTGTACAGGTGTGAACGGACAAGTGGGTTTCGACGGCCCCATGTCAAAAAGAACGGGATACATCTGTCTAGCGTGTCCACTGAAGTCTGGTTCCTGCCGATAAGGCGAGCCCTTTACCGTCTAAACTGAGTGTAGGTTATGGCATGTAGTCTGCGGCAATGTCGTGTTTGCCTCTCATATAGGCTTAGTGTGGCTCTCGTGACTTATTTGAGGCGAAAAAGCCACGGCAAAAAATCCCAGCTCCACAGTTAGTGTGGCTCAGGACACAGACAGGGACAATTTAGACAGGTAGTGTAAGCATATCAATATCAAGACAATGATTCATTCAGAGTCGGGGGAGGGGATTCTACCCTTTTGATCTCAACCGCGCAGACATGGGTTTTAGTGAAACTTGGTATAAACCTAGACACATCCAAACTTCTGTTCGTGTAAAGAGTTTCAAGAAAAACTTTTTTTTTCTCTCAATGGCTTTGTCTAACGTTTGCCCTTTCAAACAAAAGGCACCCAAGTTAAAGTGAAATTGGTGTTGGAGCCTGCTTATAGTGCTTCTCTGCAAAGTTACCAGTCCTTTAAAGCACGAAAAGAATGCAAGGTACGGCGCAAAAGTTTGTGTTAAATTAACACCTTTGTTTCCCATTATTAACACTTTGATTTTTGCAGTGTATAAGGGGAAGGTTCCACCATTCTTAAGTTATTACCATTCAGGCACATCAGAGGTTATATTAAAAAGGATCTGCTGTTCTTGCCTGAAAGATGTTCTGCTGAATCTACGAGAAACGGTTGAACGTTCAGGACTTTCCCCTTTTTCGGAGAGGAAATGTTGCTCCTGTGGAAAAGAGCGTCTCTCATAATCCCTTCAACTCTCTCCTCTGTGAAGTTCCCTTTAACGACATGTCACACCGCTACAGAGTTTGCGCACAATCCAATTAGGATGTAGGGCGTATACCACAGTTTCCGATTGACGCCTGGACTCATTACACGAATCCCCGAAAAAGAGACCGCGATGCAACGAACACCAAACAAGCCACGAAAAAATACGCCAAAACGGCTCGCAACATGATGTGGGTTGAGCTATTGATGAACGTGCGAGGGCGCTCCTCAACAGCATCCAGGATATGGAAAGTGGCATCGCGGATGATTGGCAATGTGTGGTTCTCTGTATTCGTGTTCATCTCTGTATTGGATAGGCACACTAAGCGCCGATGTCAGTTATTGCGTGTTATTACAGTCGGTGCGTGAAAGAATCGATGGATTGCTTTGTGGTTATTCATTGTCTATCCCGATGACCCCACTGATGCTACACTCTAGTGCTGGTGTTGATTGTCGCGTTGGGTATGTCATAGCATTAGTACAATTAACAACGAAGTTCTGAAAATACGAGTTTGCCTTCTTGTTTCAATGTGACCAGTTAACTTCCGTGCTTCCTCAACATGCTTGGCAATTGGTTACATTATGTTGTGGTCCTACGTTTGGCATGCGCACTGAACCGCTTTCCTCGACCCTTGTCCACATTCTCTTTCAGTTTCCAAACGAACTTACTACCTCCTTAGCTCCAGCTAAAAGTGCCTAGTAGAGTTTAGGCGAAGAATAAACTGCCTCTTTAAGCGATCACCCTCTGAGTACCGTTCATTAGTCTTCTAGACAGACACAACACGACCTGACTGCCTCAGGTCAGACCCGCGATTAATCACAGCTCTTACATAATTTCCACGTGGCCGACGCGTTGAACGGTCAGCCGTTATTTGTTTATTGCTGCCGCGTGTGGTCAATCCAAATTGCTCTAAATCCTCCGTCGTTACACAAAGCCGTGACCTTAAAACGCGGTCGACCACGACCGCTTGGGCTGAGGTGGATAGGTTTCAATAGGGCTGTCTGGAGGAAGTTATTACTTTTCAAGGGATAAAACTGTACGGGGATATTTTTCTCCCGATTAATTTGGACGGGGAGCAACGCAGGGAATTTCCCGAGTTAAGCTGAACCTCTGAAGTTGCACGGAAACGACGGAATAGAATTTGTGTATACAAGGGGAATCTAGTTCGGCATGACAACTGTATTTTCCTGCTTGAAATTGATTGCCGTTAGTTTATTTCAAATTGTGCCTGAAATGAAACGGGGAATGGCTATGTTAATTAAGAGGGCATTTTGCTATGAAAAATCAGAGCTGAGCGGCTTTGCGTAGGAGAGTAACTATGTTTGATGGAAGTGCCAAGTGCCATACGGACATGTACATGTACAAGCATTTTGGCATTTAAACAAAATGCAGACGAGAATGCAGCCCTGAATAGCTTTCTGAGTTTCAACAGTTCTTTTTCATTGATCATCACCAAGCTGGATTTTTTTGTCTTGCTTTGTCTTGGTTTTGTGGGGGGGGGTCGACTTTTCTTATGTTGTAGCCACAGATATGTAACGGCTATTTTGCATCCTGGCTTTTTATAAGTTCCATTGAGCATGCATGAAACAGCAGTACCTACCAATCAACGCTGCATCGTCAAGCCTGAAACATGGGCACACAATGGTTGATCAAGATTACAATATTTTTTTTCAGGATTGATCTTGAACTTTACTCCCGGGGTGCGCAATCATGACAACGGGGGATTCAAGGCACGGGACTATACAAAAGTTTTAGACTTCTCTGTTTGACTAATGTTATTAGAATGAGCAGGTAGGCAAGGCGAGGGGGTCAAAGGGCAATGCGTGAATTGTCCTTATAATTAGCTTGACGATAACCGCTCTGGCGTCATTACAGCAAGCCCAACAAGTTTTTAACGAACTTGACTTTTTGTTGAAGGTAAGTCCCTTCGCATAACCCTAACAAAATCGATATTTGCTGTGTGTTTGCGTCTTTTTGAAAGCGGCGTTCTGTCCTGCAGTTGCCGGTAGCGTTGAACTGTAAGAAAACCGCGACAAATGTTAATGCACACAACGTTACTCACTCTTAATTAGGTCTGAGAGCCGTATTAGAACTATGAATCGAAATTGTTCTGTGTCGGTTGTTAAACTTAATAAAATCAAGTCTGAAGCTCCTAATTTCCACATTGGCGAATTCGTCTATTTTGATAACTCATTTCTGAAAATTGAAATTCAGTTGTGTTTGACAGTTAATTGCATTCTTCAAGACACAGAAAGAAGTGGCCATAATTACATGTGCACGTTTGAGTTCGTCACCATTTTTAGCCCTGAGTCTATTTATTAACATTTTCCTACACGTTTGCATTTAAAGAGAGCATGGAGTAGGCTACTTAAAAATTTAATTTTATAGTCAATGTTCTTGCATTTTTACCTCGAATCTTTGATCGCCTGTAACTTTGTTTTCTGTTTCTGATGTCATGAATAGGATCTCTGTATTTCCATAGTGGTACTTTCCTGCCTTGCCTTCGGCAGACGAACTCTGTGCAATTGCGATATGTCGGGAAAGTTACCAAAATCCACATAGTCCCCTTGACAATTGACATGTGACACAGCGTTTGTGGAAAATTCACCAGGTATCACTTTACTGTTACTAAGCCATTAACCTGGATAATTAAATTCAAAGAAATACGTTCACGCGGTGTGTTTTATGCCTTGTAGCACCCGTGTACCATTGCATTCGTGAAGACTTCAACCATGTTATCTGCGTGAACTTTTCGTGCGGAAATTCTCGAGTTATATACATGCACATCTACGTTTCACATGAACTTGCATGTGCATGTACATGTACTGTACATGTACACGCAAATGTACAGTGCATATACGCAAACGAGTACATTTTACAGATTCAGGTGATGCAGTATCGCACGCGTTCTGCTATCAGACAAGGCGTGATGCTCACAATAAACCTTGGTGTAATAAAGGCCTCTATTAGAGATTGCTGTAGCATGTCTGGCTTTTGGCTGAGGTCAACTCCCAAACAATGCAATCAGACAATACCGTCTGGCTGACACTAAAAATGGTCGGCTGTGAACTTAGCCGTGATGACCCGTGTGCTGCGGGTGTTTACTGTAGAGACAACGTGGACAGAACTCACTCGCGCGTTTGCTGCATCGCCACCGTTTCTAAACTGGTGCATGCATATGCAATAGTCCGTATATGCTTGGGTTATCGTGTGAGGCTGTCGTGTCGATAGCTGGCAAGTGTTTAGTGGGTCATGGCAGGCTAAAAAGACAAGTGGCCTAGGTCCTTCCAATCTTGATCCTTGCATGAATGTAAATGGACTTGACTGCGCGGTACTTCGCGTCACTGTGATAAAGAATTCTAAAAGCACGATGATGTTAGCAGGAAACAAAATTAGCACCAAAGGTGTCTCCGATAGGCTTATGTCTTTACCCGACACACGTGGTTGAACGATGAAAAATCTCAATTCGGCAGACTAAAAGGAAAATTGCTGAAAATTGGAGCCGTTGTTGGCGGTATGAACATTGTTCTGTTAGAACGAAGGCGTCAGCTAAGGATTTGAAAGCAAAGGCTCTTAATGTTAAATATGCATTTGATTTGAAGATAGCCTTGGATAAACTTGAAATTTAGCTACTGCTTGGATCGAAACGTTAGCTTGTCAGTGTTACCACTGTTCAATTCAAGGTCAGTTTGAGTTTGTATACTCGCTTTGCGCAGCGGCCCGTTTTTGTAGTAATTTTAATTTTCTGAAGTTAGCCTGTGTGACTAGAATTTGGCATGTTATTGTCATCACCGGCAATATTACGTGTGATAAACAAACTGTTAGAACGTATCTGTGCAGTTTCTTTTCAGCAAGTCTGCGATAAATTTGATGAGTGTGCATGCACAGCATTCTGCTGGATAAACCTCATCCATGCCTCGTGAGTCAGTGGAAGACTTAACTTCGCCAGCGGCAGAAAAACTTGTGTTATCAGGGCCTATATACCAGAGGGGGGAGCTCCAGTACTTGGCATCGCGACCAAGGGGATCAAACGGCTTTTTCGGCCTATAAAAGCAACGGCAGATTGGGGTTATGTGGTCTCGCTGTTAGTTTGTGCTCCATATCTACCCAAAGTGTTTGAAACCTGAAAGCTTGAGAATTGCAAGACAAAATAATATGTTAATTGCACGTCAAGATGCCGGTGTAACAAGTAATTATTATATAACAAGCTTTATTTTGACTTAACGTATCTGATTATATAGGTATTTTCTGAAGGAATCTAAATTATGTTGAATAGTCCCCTTGTGTGACTTTAGCGAATTCGATGATTAAATAATTTCCGGTAGCGGCGACCGGATTTACACGTGTGCTACAGTGAAAAAAAAATATGCATGGACGACATTCGACAAGCGAAGATTGTTATTATGACGCTTGTAAATGCCAGCTATTATCTGTTCGTTTTGACCACTTTTTCATGAATTACCAATCACATCTCCATCGTTGTGTCAAAGTAGCAGAATTTTATCCCAACAAAAAAGCCAAGGCCCACGTTCGGAGTCTTTAGATTAGTTTTGGCGGGAAAATTCATACACCCTTCAGTCCTATGTTCCACTTGGTGTGAAAACTGTCGCTCACAGATAAACTAGTCAATATCTCCAGCAGCGCGGGAACTTGCATTCAATACGTGGGTTTAACACCATACCCTCTTTTTCATCTACCCAACTTGTCTCGCGTGCACGAGCGCGACAACACGGTGTGTACGAGTCGGGTGTTGGATCTGCCAGCTCCAGCGCAGCGGTACAGTTACTTGATTATTTTACCAGTTGACGGCGTCCACTGATCCCACTGAATAACGCGTAGGAATACTGGAACCAGACCGCCAATACCATATGCATATTCAAGAACTAATTTATTAAATCATGACGGCGGCCAATGAGCAGCGTGCTGGCTGTTATGATGGATGGGTCCAGAGGCTGCGACCGTGGCTACACTGATTACCATCTGCCAATCAACCCGATGAACCTGGCTGACATCTCCCCCGCCATAAAAGGCAAGGGGCCGTCATGGTAACCCGACAGTTTCAAACAGTAAGTGTCAGAGTTCAGCCATTGTGCCAGACGGCGGAGCGCACGCCCCCGTGTAGCCACAACGGCGTAGGAGAATTACTCCGCTCCGGCGGGTAGCCCAACCGACGATGTCACTCTAGGCATTTTGCCCTGTCTGCGGTTCTAAGGTTACGGCGCGAGGTAGTTAGAGGTCGGTGGTGTATGTGTGCGTTGATCTTTACATAGCTCGCCAGGTGAGTGCAGTACTTTGAGTAGGCTGCGGCGTTGATTCGAGGCATTCAAATAGACGCAAATGCGTTGGGGCTATTGAAATAATGTCAGTGCATCAGGACCTCAGTTTTGATCTTCTGATTTCACAGGGTTGTTAAACCCGACCTTTCGTGAGTGCTGGGGTTGTGAGTTCTTATTTTTGGCCGGGTATTTTTAAGCTGTCACTAGAATGAACAAGCGGTGTGTATCGGTAACACTTATCAGTGGCGCTTTGGCATCTTAACCTCGACACTGACCTTGGTTCCTTTTTTTTTTCTCATCCCTCTGCCCTCTGATCCAACCTCGGCCACCTTCACCGTGGCCCCCTCTGACACCCTCCATACACAACACAGTCCGTCGCAGACTCACCGTACTCCGCCGCAACATGGCGATGGCAGTTAGTACCTGGAGTAGCGACGATCTGGCCGGGGAGAAATCCAGGCAGCAGGCGGCGCAACAGCACACCAACTCGCAGCCAATTCCACCGGTGCGACTCGGCACATGGAGTCGGGATGAGCTTGGCACAGACAAGACAGTCTCCCAACCCCCACCGCCGTCCCACTGGAGCACAGTCAATGTCGGCGATGAAATCGCCCCGGATAAGGCGCAGCACGCTCCACAGGCCACCCCGCAACCGCCACAAACCCCGGGCGCCCAGGGGATCGGGGTGCAACAGCAGCACCAAACACCGCAACCCACCACCCCAACGCAACCCAGTCAAACTACCCCAACACCGGGTCAGACGGCACAGTCTCAAGTCCCCCAAACACCACAGCAGCAGCAACAGCAGCAGCACCAGCAACAGAGCCAGCAGAGTCCGCCGCAGATTGAATGCGTGGTTTGCGGCGATAAGTCCAGCGGGAAACACTACGGTCAGTTTACCTGTGAAGGCTGCAAAAGTTTTTTCAAGCGGAGCGTGAGACGGAACCTGACCTACTCCTGCCGAGCGAACCGTAACTGTCCCATCGACCAACACCACCGGAACCAGTGCCAGTACTGTAGACTTAAGAAATGTCTGAAAATGGGCATGAGAAGAGAAGGTAAGTCTACCAATTTCTTCTGTTTTTCACCATAAAGTTTAGGGATTTTTTCATGTATAAGTTTTTTATATAGCGCGAACTTGTCTCTAAGTTTCTTCACCCGACTCGTAGACCCAAAGCTTTATGTCATTTAGCATTTGCCTCAGGCATCACAAACAGTAATCACCTCTTAAACACCCGTATCAAACTTGAACCCACTTATTTGCGCTTCTTACACCGCAGTGTGCACTAAAGGTCTCTGTTATTTCATCAAAGTTAGTCTTTCAAGAAAACTTTTTGAAAGTGCACACCCATACTTGTTACGCTGTATTTTCCGCGTCTGGGCTAGTGAGAAGAATTTTTAGTGTTTAGTCATTATTTACAGCAGTAAGTAAGGTTATGTCAGCTCCAGCTAACATTGTGTAAAATGTATATATTGCTTATCTTGTGAAGAGTTTAAAACGTTTATTACATTTCGATGATTTGAGACAAACGGAAATTTACAATGTACCATTTGTCAACAATATAAGTTATAACGTTTATTGTCCTTGATAACCTCCTTCATTATGCGATTAACAACTGTAGAAATGTGTATCTATGAGTAAAGTGTTTATTCCACTTGCTGTACAAAATATTGAGCAGGAAATCAAAGTTTTACAAAATGTCAAGATATGTCCCGGCCTAATTACCAAGCAGTTACTGAGCACATGATCACAAAGCCCAGTGGTGAAACTATACGTTTTTTCACATGAAACGGTAATACTGTATAGCAATGTTTGATTTCCATTCCATGTTGGAACCTTTGCCCCTCTTTCTGGTCGGTTGCACACTCGTGAATGGTAGCTGACTTGCAGCAGTCCAAGCCGACACACATTGGAACCGTTCTTAAATCCAGGGAACTTTTGCATCCACTGATTTCGCCCCAGGTGTAAAGTTCTCGCTTTTGTCCAAGTTCCGAAAATACCCGCCATTTTAGGGCCTTGGTGTTGTGTGATGGCTCGTCCAGTTTGTCATATTCAGTGCCTTTTTAAAAGCTGCATTCGAAGGTCGCACAGAAATCGAAAAGATCTAGACGGAATTGTAATTAAGGTTGCCAGCTGTACAAGCGACTTGTGGGCCGACTTTTATCAAGCGGGAGATAGTGCACCGAGGCTTGGCAACAGTTTTTTGAAAGTCAACCTTATGACTGTGAATCTTTAGGAAACTGTAAAATTACATTCAGTAACATTGGAAACAGTCTCTCGAAAGAAAAAGCATCATTGTTGGTAGATTGGCCTTGAAAAGAGCGATAATAAAAAGTTTTCCACTGAAAAAAAGATGTTAATGCTTCAAACTTAAGAAATCACCTCTTTACGTAGCCAAATCCTAACTATAGTCCCATCTTTCTTAAACCTCGCAAGTCACAATGGTAGCGGTACAAGCGTCCAGGCGCTGCCAACGCTATTGACTTCGGTTCCTCGCAAGTTACTGATGAATATGATCGACACCTCGGTGACGAGTGTCGACACCGCACAGAACAAAGCTGTGCCAATCGTTACAATTGTACGAAATGTGGTCGGTTAGGAAAGGACGCCTGAAAAAAAATAATTAAGTTTGTCTAGCGTTAAACTACATCACAGATTCAGCGCGAGTACCAACGGTTACATGCACTTCCAGCTTATGCCATCAAGTACCATCTGGTGACTGGTCTGGTCTGCTGAGTTTAAATAGTCAGCAGTATGAAGTAATGGAACTTCATCCAATCAGTTTGTTTTCATATTTGGCAACATCAAAAGCTTAATTTTCAATAAAAAGAGGGAAACGAACTATGTAAGCACAATATCGAGTTGGGTTTTTTACGTCTGGATTGAAAACAAAGAGATAAACTTGCACAGCACTTTGAGCAGAACTTTTATTACGTTGATGATCGGCCATGTTTAGATAAACATGTAGAGGCAAAAGCCTGCATTTTCAGTGTGAGGAGAACGGCGTGCAAAAAATGACTCAGAACGATCACTTCGGGGATTCTTCTCTACCATTGCCTGCTTTTCTTGAGTGTAAGTTAGCCTTGTGAATAATGTGATAACATAACACAATCCATGGTCTCTTGCAGCAGTACAACGCGGACGAGTGCCACCGTCACAGCCCGGTCCGGGCCAGTACCTAGACGGCCGCTTCGAAGGCCACTCCTTCCTCTCCGGCTACATTTCCCTCTTGCTGCGGGCTGAGCCCTACCCCACCTCCCGCTACGCCCAGTGCATGCAAACCAACAGCGTCATGGGCATCGACAGCATCTGCGAGCTTGCCGCCAGACTGTTGTTCAGTGCCGTGGAGTGGGCCCGCAACATCCCCTTCTTCCCGGACCTACAGGTGACCGACCAGGTGGCCCTCTTGCGCATGAGCTGGAGCGAACTCTTCGTCCTGAACGCTTCGCAGTGTTCCATGCCTCTCCACGTCGCCCCGCTATTGGCCGCCTCTGGCCTGCACGCCAGCCCCATGTCGGCCGATCGGGTCGTTGCTTTCATGGACCATATTCGGATATTCCAGGAACAGGTGGAAAAGTTGAAGGCCTTGCACGTAGACTCAGCAGAATACAGCTGTATGAAAGCAATTGTTCTCTTCACCTCTGGTAAGTGCCGAGTCCACTTTTCACCATACTTTCAGTCCTAAATAATTTTTTAAATGTATTTTCAATTGTTTGGTCTAGACCGTCAAGCTTTACTTGGTATCAGTGAAAGCAAATAATGCAGGATTTCAGTTGCCCACCCATTTCACTACGGTAAACGCTGTAAATCCTTTACCAAGACATTTCTCATCAAAAGTCTGCAGTGTTTGCTTGTTTAAGCATATCGTGCAGTAGACCTTCCCCCACTTAACTATAAACAGATCGCCCATTGACAATGTAGTTGTGCAACAGAACCTAAATGAACAAAAGCAACCAGATATTGTAATTTGAAAGTATCAAAAGCCCGACTGTATGAATTTGTTTGCTTCGTGAATCGAGTAATTCATGAGTCGGATAGCTTTGTAGCCATGCCAAAAAGATCTATTCAGGATAAACTGAAAAAAAACATATAATTGTAGTTGTAATATACCACTCCACTTTCAGCCCTTTCCTGAAACAGATTGGGAAAGAACGAGAAAATTTCGTTCCATGTTGGTGGAAGGCACGGTGAAAACTGCTGACTTGAAGTCTAGTTTGGCAAGACAATTCCAGCTGTGACCAATTCACTGTTTTAGCGTAGCCTTATATCAATGGACTTTCACCCACAAACCGTGAGCCGTCTCAATAAATTCATGTCCACGCCATCAAAGCTAAGAAAGAAAAGTAATCGTCCGAAGAATCATGTTACTTTTTTCTTAAAAACACATTGGGGGTTAAGCCTAACGACATCAATATTTTCCTCTCTGATCGTCCAGAGAAGTAGGATTAAGATGGATAGGAGTTGTAGCTAAGCATAACAAGCACTAGGATCTGAGATTGTGTCTCAGGCATTTGGTTATGCGATGACCCATCAGCACTCCAGCTGTTTTGGCACTGTTTTGCCCCGTTGGCTGTAAGTGCTTTGGTCAAGTTTGTTCTTGATCGATTTGAGTTCGCATTAGGCCCACAAAAATATATACGCTTAGCGTCTCTTGTTTGAATGATATGATACCCATCTGACAAAACCGATTTCCATGAACTCTTTATCGGAAAGATGCTGTCTTTTGGAAATGGGATTTTTTTCAGTGTCGCTGTTCAACTGTCGTGGTTTCTACTCCGCGTGTTGCTATGGTAACCAACTAGTTTAGCGCTCATAAGATAGGTGCTTGAGCATTGCCTGGTCAGGAGGCGCTTTGGTGCTTTGGGAATTTCGATAATCAGTGCACTGGATGTTCAGTGCTGTACTTAGTCTAATTTTTGGAGGTCCTGCACGTCGGCCCTGGCTAGACTCCATCTCTCTGCGGATGGAGCTGTGATGTCGGCGTTTGACGACCCTAGCAACGCAAAACGCTGTGGTGCTGAGTCCCCCCGTAATGAACCGAATATCTCAGTCTCGCAGTTGATTAGGCAGGCTGGCGCAGGCACGACTGTCGCGCTCGGGCACAAAAAACCGTCTCAGTGCCAGCATGATGGTACATGGCCCAGTCAATGGAAAGGAGAAAGACAGAAGTAGACAGCTTCGGGAGCCTGCAGTCTGCCTCATCACGTTACCCCGAACGACCTGTTTTCGCCTTCATACACACGAAGGCTGCATAACAGGCGGAGCAGTAATTGCCGACGATAGCTAGAAGGTGAAAGACAATGTGGTTTTGATGACACCTAGCCTTGTGCCGTCACTGTAACGCCACCAGCTAATGCTGAAACACACAGTCGAGATCCACGCACCCGACTCGCGCTAGAATATAGACCCAGGTTGGACAATACTATCAATGAATCGTGAACATTACATGTATCTGAAGGCTTTTGAGAGAGTACTGGCAACCTGGAACTGGTGACACGAAACGATTATTGACTTTGTGTAATCAGCATGCAATTCCCAATTCTAATATACTACATGCCATTAAACCCATATCATACCTAATGCACGTCTCATGCTTCGTATGCACCACTTGCGTGTGCGTATATTTAGTGTCTTCATGCTGGGAAGTAACGATATTGAAGCCATCGTATACATGTACTGATTACGCAAATGGCGAGCATCTCACAGTTCATACCCAAAGCCTCATTCAAACCAAGGGAGGCGATTATGTTTTAGCTTAAAAAAAACCTCCCTGTATTTCACAATGAAGTGCACTGTTTTGCTGTGTAATGCATAAAACATATTCGCGTACAAAAATCATCTGTACATCATGCATGATGCTCAAATGAGGGCTTGAATTATGAACTGAACGACCATTGCATGTGCACATATGATATTCACATGAACGGATCAAGCTCATGACGCTTGAAACCATGCGTAAATGCACATATCTAAATTGGAACTAGGGTTTCAGAAAAACACTAGGGTAATTAGTGATACGTTTCGAACAGCATAATTCGGTGTGCGTGATACACAGCGGCTCAGTCGGGCCGTGGAAGGTCAACTTGAGGTTAGTTTAATATTCATGCCAAATCTGTTGCACATGTTGCCAATGGGTCCGCCTGTATTTGTACTGCCAAACTGTAACTATAGTTCCAATCTAGATCTTTATCCACCAAAATTTTTAATGGGCGAACAGCATTTAAATTCAAAGCCAAGATGAAGAAACGGTCATTTTAATGACTGGGTGAGAACAAAGGCCCATTTTGCTGGCTCCTAAATCTCCTCAAAAGGGTCCCTCTATAACAACAATGCGGGAAAATTGTGGGCTCGCGTAATACACTGGTTGTTTCATATCCGTGTTCTGATAAATAATTAAAGCCATCCACTTGTTAAGGTCTTCCGAGTTTCTACATATATATAACCATTCGTAAAGAAATCAAAGTGTATTCTGAGTAGGAGGTTCCTCTACAAGCGACACTGTAGTCCAAACTAATAATGTTTTTTCCAGCACCCTTGGAATCGAAAACGTGCGCTGCGCTTAACATTAAGAAAAAATGTAATTAAGAAACTCATGTTTGAAATAAAAACATCATTTTTGCAACGTTTGTGTTTACTTGAGCTTGAATCTTACATTGTAAGTCTGAGCAATTACGATGTTCAAAACAATCAATTTCGCATTGATTTAACTCCTGTGGTTTAGAATTAGGCAACACATGTCTGTAGAAACCGTCAATTTCGTTTCATTTTTTCAGGAAAAGGAGAGATAACGGTTTTTTGTTTTCAAATAATGGAAGGTATACCAAAGATGCATAAGGTTTGTTCTGTATTTCAAGCAACAATGTGGCGCAGTTGACACCCACATTTACAGTATTACCAAACGACAGCAGTAAGAAGGACATTTAGCTGATTGAAACATTCTGAAAAGTGCCTTTTCGGCGATTTTTCGCCAGACCGAACAGAGAAACAATGTTTTCTTTTTGCCGAGGCACGAACTTGACTCGTAGACCTAGACGAGTGCATCGACGCGACGCAAGCGAGTCGGGGGCCACGGAGTGCTGTACATCATAACCGTCGATTCCGCGTTGTTTGCCCTTCGACAGGTCACGGCGTCTGACCCCAGCGGTCGGCTCGTGAATGCTGCTGGTATGTTATCTAGGTTGTGGGTTGTATAATGGAATCTTTACCTTTGGGAGCGGTGGTGGTCCGCGAAATTCTGAATTGTTTCTGGTATGCTGCTAACGGCTCATTTTTCCTTTTTATTTTCTGTTCCTTTTTTTTATTTTCTGCAAAGAAGACAGCAAGGCGTTTGAACTGAAATTGAATGTTGAGTTTTCTGTGATAACCATAGCACAACAAGTACACGTACATTATTTTCCACATGTTCCTACCAAAAGGTGCTGAAAATCGGCGTTATAGTAATGATAATAAATAACGTTCGCTCATGATGTGCCAGATTTGGAATTCATTTCGTATATCTCTGATGAGTGAGATATGGGTCTTTGGCGGTGAAATAATATTGGGATAATATTGTATTTCGGCGCTCTTTTTTTGCACATAGAATTCAATTGTACAGACATATAAATGTCAGGGTCGCGCAACTTAATGCAGCTAATAGCATGGAATTTCCACATTGGAAGACCAGGAAATAGCTTAAGTGAAAAGAATTATCCAGCGAACAAGGTGGTTGCGTCCGGCAGAGATGCCGACCTGCAGCCCCCAGCGTGCCCGGTGCCGGAACTTCTCTGGTGGTTAATATTTTCCGGTATTCTTGGGTCTGGCTTCCGGTAATTCCTGTAAAACTTGCAGATCTGGAAACTGGGTCAGAGCAATGCTGAACAGTTGGGAACCGTAGAGAATGAAGTGCGTGCTTTTTATTTCTTTCCCTTTTTTCAGAGATGGACAGGCCCACAGTGCTGTTTGGGGTTGTCGTTCATGTTCGCTTTCCTGCAGCTTTCACCGAAGCGTGTGTTTTCCCTGACGTTTATCGAGAGTACATAGGTTGCTGGAAAGTGGCCGAAAGGGTCCAGGCGATGACTTTTTCCAAGGAGCACGTTTTATGCAAGCCTTTACTCTTCTTTGATGTTGGAAAACTGGCTGATGACTTTTTGGTGTGATGAATATTGGAAAGTGCACTTCAAAAAAAAATTAAAATTGGCTGTGCTTTCCGGACAGCAGAGGGCGCTGTTGTTATGTAATTCAGGGAACACACTGATCAGTTTTCTCTTCAAATTGCGAACCCTAATTTGCTTAGAAAGGGTTGTTCGTTGGCTTATTGCCATGTATGTACACAGCAACGAATAACCAAAGGAAAAATTTGAGCTACAAAATGTGAAAAAATTCAGCCATTTTTATTTTTCTTTTTTTTTCTCTTTATTTCTCTTTCTTTTTGCACAAATCTGTGCGGCGTTGAGGTTTTCTCACTGAGATGAACCATGAATATTGAAATTTGAATTAGCATGCAAACTGAAAAGACGCTGAAATAGCTTTTAAAGTAGTAATTCAAAAACTGAAAATAAGGTTAATTAACTAAATCTACAGAAAAAAATGCATTGCATCTAAAGACTCTTTAAATGCTCTCCAGTAAGTCGAAGGAGGCAATACTCTCACGTAAAAAGTAACCGTA